GCCGTCAACGCATCGGTCAATTGACTTTTGCGTGCGGCCGTCCGCGAGTGTAACTTGCGTAGGTTGCGTCTTYCTTCGAACGCGCGGGCCAAGACCTGCGCGGGCCATAAAGGCTTGACTCATGAAGTTGCGAGACGCTCCGCAATCAATCAAGGCACTACAGGTTGCCTTTCCGATTTGAATGCGGATATAGAGCAAAAGTGCGTCGTTTTCGGCGTACCTTTGGGTGGCGTGCTCGCGATCGATCTTCGCAAGATAGGAGCGGAGATCGGCAACCGCTACCCCGTCGTCCGTCAACGGAGCTGGTACTGTAGTGTGCAAGTAGAAGCATAGATTTGCCATCAAGGCGTTGCAATGCGGCCTTGGCAATGTTCCGGTCGAGGGTAGAGGTATCCAAGCGAAATCCTCTCTCGTGAGCGGGTCAAGCTCCTCAAGTCTTGACCACGCCGTCGAGTCCTCCGAAATCAGTGGCGAACGGACCGGATCACTTGCCGACGGTGTACAGGTTGCGCATACGCAATCTACATGCACGTGATTAGGCTGGTCTAATGGTGGTACCAGCTGGGCGGCATAATCCTCGTACGTAGCACGAGAATCAGCGACTAACGCATGCTCCCCGGTAGTGACATCGATTGCTAGCAAGGCAACCGGGTCCGACGGAGTGAGGAGAGACGTCGCCCCTCTCCTTGCGTAACTCAGTTTCCCGAGTTTGTTGGACGGGGTACGCGTGCCTTGCCCTTTTCGGGGCATTATGCGGTCACATGAGTGACTCCGTTGCACCAAAGGCAGTATCCGAACTTCTGACGTAGGTCATAGACCTCCTTGGTGATCTTATATGTCGTCCATGGCTGTTGCCCAGCTCCCGTCGTTGTCGTCTCTTGTGTCGCCTTGTTCTTACGAACTCTCTTGGGACGCTTCGGCGGGAGCACTGCGACAATTCCTCCATCACCTGAGGATGCTGCTGCAGCGTGGTGGTCGTCGGTTTCCTCAGAAATCACGGCATTGTTATGTGTCGGACGTTGATAGGCCTGCTTAGCCACATAATGCGGCTGGGGTTGTCTCTCGTTAGCGGCCTTGTCGTCCGTTTGKATGACCAAGTTCGCTCGATCCAGAATGGCATGGAATGTGGTATAGTCGTACTCATTACCGAGTGCCGACCGCAATCCCGCGCATGATCGCGAGAAGAACTCGGATTGTTGATTTGGAAACGTAAAGTCGAAGCCTGGTGTGGTCACTATCTTTTGCCACTTCGTTGTCCAGTCTCGAGTTGGCATGTTACCCTGAGAGCATGTGTACACCTCATTCATGGCCGCCTTCACGACGTTGCGGACCATGAACCGGGTGAACCATAGCTGCTCGAACTCCTTCCACGTGATGTGCGTGTGGAGTTTGGCGATGGTGCACTTGTGGGTGGCCGCCAGGTGGTTCATCCATGCCTGCGCTCCTCCAATCAGTTGCAAATAGAGTGCCTTCAACATGTCGTTCGCCGGGACAGTGCGGCATGACGCTTCCGTGAGGAAACGTCGCCACCATGTCAAAGCATCCGACTTGTTGTAGTCGTCGAACTTGCAGATGTCGGCATCTTGAACGTCTTTGTAGCGGCGTCCGGTCTCGTCTGTAGCTTGGTGATGTCCGTCTTGATGGCGGCCACCATGCTGCTGATCGTATTAGGTCCATTGAAAACACCTATGTCACCGATGATGGTGACGACGTGATCGATGCGTTCGTTGATTTGCTTCGTCGCGTCCGTCGTGCAGCCTGGCGCTGCTGAGGCCTTGGCCTCAATGCCGTTGGTGCGTGCGATGGTAGAGTTCATCAGYTGTTGYTGTTGCTGCTGCTGCATTGCTGCGTCGCGGACGYCGRCCGTTACAGCGGCCAGGTCTTGCTGGTACTGCTGTCTTTGCTGTCGTTCCGCGTGCAGGTGTGCCTGCAGTAGTTTGTTGTTCCACATTACTCCCCTCATTACGTTCAACATCACGGTAGCCAGGTTACTTCTCTCTGCCTCCGCCTGTGTCGGCTCCGCCTGCGTTTCCGTAGGCACAAAGATCATGCCTTGGAGTATCGTTGTCCACTGATGCTCACTAGCAATCAGGGACTCCCTGCTGGCGGCATTCCGTCTGTTTCGTGCCGCTTCGTCAGTCTCAMCTGTCCGCTGAGCTTCGCCTGCCGCCTCATTGGCCCGCCGCTGACGTTCTGCCTCTACCGCAGCCTACTGAGCCTCGGCGGCGGCTACGGCGTCTGTAAATGCCTGTAGCCGCCCACGATAGTCAGCCAAAGGCTCGCTGGCCTCTCGGACCGGGCATGCGGGAATATCTCCGGTGGTGTCTTGTACTGTCAATGCCGTACTTGATGCCGCTGGAGTCGTCCGTCTGCTGAATCTCTTGGGTCTTGGAGGTACCGCAGGGCGGGCACGAACTGCGATCCTGGCACTGCGCCGTGGCAGTGCCCCRGTGTCCTGTTCCATCGACATCAGTCTGAACTGATGCGGTACTTGAGAGGTGCCGGTGTTCACAGAATACAGGGGGGTAGGGAGAGTGGGAACAGGGGTAGAACAATCAAGCAATATACATACAATCCCCTGTCCCACTGATGGACTGTAGACACCTAATCAAACAGAAAAATAAATTTCCATAAATCACTCCAAAATTCGTAATAAGAATTTAATAACGATTTAATCAGTAAA